GCACTCCTCCTCCCTCCCTCCCCTCCCTCCCCTCCCTCCCTCCCTCCCTCCCTCACTGCCTCGCTGCCTCGCTGCCTCCCTTGCTCTCTGTTGCTCTGTTGCTCCCTCGCTCCTGCCTCCTCTCCTCCTCACCGTCTCTGGGTTGTGGGGGTCCAAAATAGGAACTGCGACGCAGGAGTGGAAAAGTCTCTTAGCAGTGTAATATCTGAAACAGGAAGATCAGAAGAGGACGGGGATTAGGGCAATGACGAAGAGGAAGGAGGAGGAGGAGGAGGTAGTGGAGGAGGAGGTAGTGGTGGAAGAGGAGGAGGTAGAGGAGGAGCAGAAGGAGGAGGAGAAGGTAGAGGAGAAGGAGGAGGAGGAGGAGGAGACATTTCACCTCGAATCATGCTCGATTGAATCAATTTGAGATTCATTGAAGTCGAACGTGTGAGACCTGCTCATGGGTCAACATCTGCACTAGATTCTGCATGCCTTGACTTTTTCTTCTGCCACACAAATCCTGGAATCCCGTCCCCGTAACCATACACTCTGCAAAGACAAGACGTGAGAAGCTTCAAAGGGAAGCAAATGCAGGGGCAAGTTGATGCTGATGTTGATGTTTTGATTTGCTGTTGTTTATGATGATGATAGTGATGATGATGATGATGATGATGATAATGATGATGATGATCACGATGATGATGATGATCACGACGACGATGACGATGACGATGACGATGACGATGACGATGACGATGATGATCACGATGACGATCATGATGGTGGTGGTGATGATGTTGGTGGTGATGATGTTGGTGGTGATAATGGTGGTGATGTATCAACCTCGATGACCCGCTCTCTGCAAACTCGAGCACTTGCTCTCTGATTCCAGAACTTCTCTGCATGCACACTGTGAGATTTTACAGGGTAACTTGCAATCGGAACGGACTTTGACGAGCTGGTTGATGATAACGTACTGATTCATGAACGACATGGTGTTGTCTGACAACAAAGTCAGCCAGTCAGCGGGTCCAAACACGATCAAATTCATATGAGAGCTCACTCAGTCCGTTTTCGTCCCATTTCAACCTGCAAGCGAGCAAAGTTCACTCACTCCATCTTGCATCGCCTCCTTCCCACCTCCCATCGCCCCCCCCTCCTCCTCCTCGTCTCTTTCTCGCTCCTCCTCCTCCTCCTCCCCTCTCTCTCCTCCTCTTCCTCTCTCCACCACCTCCTCTCTCTCTCCTCATCGGACCTGTCGATGTGGATCACAGAGTTGGCATTGTGCACGAAACTCCCGAACGGGTTGGAAGGGAGCCTTGACAGAGACGTTGATCGCAGTTCCCTCCTTATCAATCCGTCGTCCCCATGGGACTCACTCGCTGCCCCGTTGTCCTCCCTATGACCCTGCACAGAACCCGATCATATCCTCCTCCTCCTCTTCTTCCTCTTCCTCCTCCTCCTCCCACCCCCCATTCCCCCACTCCTCCCTCCCCCCCCTCCCCTCCTCTCTCCTCACAGCACCATTACCTCTGTCACATGATGATCGTCTGCAAGCGGGACGAGGTCGACTTTGACGTCCGACAGGTCACCCACCCTGGACATCTCGACCTCGGCACGTTGCGCGAGTTTTGGCAGGACGTCTGCTGGCTCCAACCTCTGCCCGGTCGACAAGATCTTTGCTATTTCCACATCTTCTCGGGCCCATACCTGCATGCCCTCTTAAACATCGCATCTCCCCTCGCTTCCTCCCTTCACCTCCCCGTAGGCAAAGCCTGCTATCTTACAACAGTCCTTGAGAAGCGAGCTCATCGGCCCAAGCTCCTGCTTCTGCATCTTCGGTTGTTGGAGGAGATTGCAAGATGTGTGAGTTGCTTCACAATCTAGTGCACATGCTTGCAAGCTGCAGAGTAGAAGTCATCACCAAACAGCTGAACGCATGCCCAGCGTGTATCAAACCATGTCCTTCTCCAGCATGGGGCTCGTCTCTCATTGGTATCATGGTTCTCTGCTACTTGTCGTCTACAGCATGATCTCTAGCCCTGACCCCCTATTGTCTCTGTCTCTAACTATCTCCCCCCCTCTCCTCCTCCTCCTCCTCCTCCTCCTCCTCCTCCTCCTGTTTCCCCCATGCAGGATTCCTCGACTACCCTACCCTACCTTTTGAAACCCCACCCCCCATTTTTTCAGGTTCTACGACTCCATCAAGAAATACCACCCTCCGGTAAAATATCCCCCCAATTTACCCCTAGAAGTACCCCTACTCAAACGTTTTTGGTTCATCCCACCCGTCCATCTAAGACATTCGGACCCCGACCTCTTAAAAAAAAACCGAAACATGCAACCCACCCCCTTGGTTGTGCTTGTTCCCCGACAAAAAGGCTAAGAGAACTTTCGTTCCCCCACGAGCAAGAGCAAGAGCAAGAGCAAGAGCAGGAGCAGGAGCAAGAGCAGGAGCAGGAGCAGGAGCAGGAGCAGGAGCAGGAGCAGGAGCAGGAGCAGGAGCAGGAGCAGGAGCAGGAGCAGGAGCAGGAGCAGGAGCAGGAGCAGGAGCAGGAGCAGGAGCAGGAGCAGGAGCAGGAGCAGGAGCAGGAGCAGGAGCATGGGCAAGGGCAAGGGACAGGGGGAAAGAGGCAGGGACGGGATGTGAGAAAACGGATCCAGATGGAGGGCTGGTAGGGGACGAAAGAGGGGAAGCAATGGAGGAGGTAAACGAGACCTAAAATCGAAAATTGAACTTTTAACAGTCGCATATCAACATGGAATGGAAGAAAACTTGAAGAATAAAGGAGAGAGAGAGAAAGAATAGAACAGGAGAATGACAGTGACGATGCCTTCATCATCACGGAGTCGTCGACTGCACAACAGAGCAGCAGAAAGCAACGAATCGCTTCGCGTAGTCCTTGGGAGGGATGACGCTGAAGTTGCAACCTCGTTGGATCACGCTCTGCCATTGCGGTGAGTTGAGATGCCGTCAGAAGTTACAGTCTCGATCATGCAGCTGAGACACGGGGGAGAGGAAGCAGGAGAAGCAGGAGGGGAGCAGGGAGGAAGGAGTTGTCGGGAGGAGATGATACCTTCAGCCAAAACTCTCCCTTCTTCTTCCACCGGAAAGGTACCAAAGTGTCGATGATGCCCACAAAAATGACCTGGAGGAGAGAAGGATGAGAGGGTCGGTAGCAGGCGGGGGAGGAGGAGGGGGAGGAGATTGGATGGAGATGGAATTGCAAGCGAATTAGCCGACCTTCTGCCATGCGGAAACGCTTGCTGAGCCTGTATCGCCTGAAGTCAAACATCACGTTCAAGTTGGTCAGCGGATTCTCAGCGTCTCTCGATCTCTGAGTCGACTGCTTGGCGACATGATAAGTGAAGAGTAGAGTGACAGGAAGTGTAATGGAGAGGACAAAGCAAGCGATCCAGACGCTCTCGAGGCTGTTCCTCGCTCCCTCACAGAGGTTCTTGTACCACTTGTTGTAGACTAAAGTCAAGCTCTCACAGGAGCCCATGGTCATCATCTCGCTGATAGTCTTTTGAATGTCTTCATTGTTCGCCAGTGCCATCTTGTCAAATTGGTACCGCTGCTGGCTAGCTGAGAGCTTGACGCTGTCCAACGAGCTTCTGAGCGACTGAACGTCTTGCTGCATGCTTGAAATCTGCTGCTGAAGCAAGTCAAGATACAGCTTGAACGCTTGTCCTCGCGTGGAGCTGGGGTCGTATCTAGAGGAGTACCCAAACTCATCTCCTGTCGCCTGCATGTCCATGAC